GGTTAAGTTGCCTAGATAAATGGGAGCAGATTCTGCAATATAGATGGAAAAAGAACCCGGATGCTTTGTGGTGCACTAACTCCTAACTTTCATTACAGAAGAATTTAAAACCCCATCAAATTCTTATTCCCTGAAAAACATTGAGGATGTGAGAGAATTTTTGGGAAGACATTCTGAAAGATTTGACAAACACGTTGCATCTTTCCATAGGACTTTTAAAGAACATGAAAGAAAAAGTCTACGACATTACATAGTCAGTATCTCACTTTTAACCTTTGATAACCTAGAATTTTGACCTAATGTTTGTACCTAGGTAATTCACTATTTGAATTTATTTTATTAAAGCTTTTCATGTCACAAAATATTTTGTAAATAGAATTGTGAAAATGTGGGGTATTTAGTCATAAAGGATTATGGTGGTTTGCATTTTGTTTTTGTTTTTTTTGTAATTAAAAAAAAAAAAATCAAATCCTGCTTGTCTCTGCACTTCAGTACGTCTTACTAATTGAATGGGACTACTTGCCTGGCTTAGATAATCAGGATTTGTCTGAGTTCTAGCATTGCATTGCTCATATTTAAATAACATAGTGACTTTTTAAAATATCATGTCTTGATTTTTCAGGATTCTGTTAATGCACTTTACACCAAATGCCTCCAGCATTTATTGAGGGATTCTCACTTGGTAAGCACTACTTCAGTAAATCTGTACTGTGAAAATAGCTGCCTATTGCTTAGACAATGTATTTAACTCAGTGCATAAATTCCCATATCTTTTAGAGGATGCTTGCAAAGCAGGAACCTCAGATGAATCTGATGAAACAAGCAGTTGAAGTAAGTCTGAGGCTGGGCAAAAACATCAGTGGGTTATTTTTATCTCTTCTTTCCTTTTCCTTCCTAAACTGTGGTGTTTGTTCCCCAGATGTATGTACATCATGATATTTATGATCTGATCTTTAAATATGTGGGAACTATTGAGGCAAGTGAGGTAAGCTTTTTTTTTTTAATTAATCTATGCAAGACTGATGAACAAACGTTTGTACAGCTTCTAAAAATATTTGTTTTATTCACCACTTAGGATGCAGCCTTTAACAAAATTACAAGAAGCCTCCAAGATCTCCAGCAAAAAGATATTGGAGTTAAGCCTGAATTCAGGTGAGAGTTGCATGATGAGGGACTTCTAAATGACTCTTCATCCGGAATGTATTAAAGTTAAGTAGGTCTCAGGTCAGCCAAAAAGCAGCTCTTCCCCGAAGTCTGCTTACTACTCCAGGGGAGGGAAGTCCATTTCTTTCTGCACTAGCCCCTGCGATGTTCTCACTTCTCCAAAAGATAGAAAAGTAAAGGGTTTGAGGGCACCAGCTTGGGTTAGCTGCCCCATTGATGTGGTCTTAATTCCTCATTGCCTCCAGTATCTTAAAACTTCTCTCCTTTTTTTTTTATTTTGCTTTCAGAGGTGCTGACTTTCTAATGTGCCGGGGGTGCTCGATCTCTGTTCCACCCCTGAGCACTCCCCACCCTCGCTCCTTCCTTCCTCCTTCCCTCCCTCTCTGCCTCCCTCCCTCCCCAGCACCTGCACGCCACTGAACAGCTGATCACCCAGAGGCAGTGATGGGCAGGGCTGCCAGTGGGTGGAAGGGGCTGGGGGGAGGGGGAGGCACTGATTGGCGGGGCTGTTGGCGGGTGGGAGGTGTGGTGGGAGCTGATCGGGGGGCTGCTGGAGGGTGCTGAGTACCCACCATTTTTTTTTATTTTTTATTTTTTTATTTTTTTTTCCTGTGGGTGCTCCAGCCCTGGAGTTGGCGCTTATGTGCTCAACAACATTTGGAACAACAAGTTCCACCTTTTGTTCAAATGCAAGTCTCCCTGATTCCATGGGTGTGCAGAAGTGTGCTCTGCCTCTTGGGCTTTAATTCATGGTATTGCCTGAAATTTGAACAATTGCACAAGCATACTTAATTAGTACATCTCATAAATCTGGATTGTATACTAAGGCTTTTATCTTTCAAAAATATTTTATAGCTTTAATATTCCACGTGCGAAGCGAGAATTGGGTCAGCTGAATAAATGCACCTCCCCACAACAGAAGCTGATCTGTCTTCGAAAAGTGGTGCAAATTATTATGCAGTCTCCTAGCCAAAGAGGTTGGTATTCAAAGCAATGAACTGGTAATTAATTTTAATATGTGGCACTCTTCATCTTGAAAGCACTTTACATACACTCTCTAACTTTATTTGTGCTCTCTGTATATATAGTCTCTAATATTTTATATATGGAAGAATTCATGTTCAAATAGAATACTAAGGGTCTGGCTTGCAGAATATTAAGTACAACAGGCAAAACTAGGGTGATCAGATGTCCCGATTTTATAGGGACAGTCCTGATATTTGGGGCTTTGTCTTGTATAGACGCCTATTACTCCCTATCCCGATTTTTTTTCACACTTGCTATCTGGTCACACTGGGCAAAACAGACCCTTGAAGTAGTATACTTACCTTGGGCATAAACATCCTGTGGCGGGAAAACACTTGACTTGCATTGATACCTCAGCAGAGAAAAAGCCTAATGTTGATTTCTTTCTGCTGCAGAGGAATATTTTTCTTCAAGGAGTTGAGTGATTCATTGTAGCGCTGTTGAGTTGCTACAGCACTCTGACATCTGCCTTACAGTCCACCATAATCTTGTAAATACACTGACTCCCAAAGGATGTTAAGTTGATTGAGATTTCTTTTACAAAACTTAAAAATAGAATAAAACTGTGGAACAGTAATCATGGAAGATAAATGTTTATTCCCGTTATTGCATGATGCCTTTTGTTAATCCATTGAAGATGTAAAATTAAGTTCCCTCTAATGAAACATGACCCTCTTGAAGCCAGATATTGAGTGTTGGTATAGTCCCACCAAACTGTTTAATGGGGCTGAAGTACAAAACTCCCCGTCAAGTGAACAGGAGGCAGTAGCTCTCCACAGTCCATGCCTCTCCTCCCCATCACAAAGATATTTATTATTTGACTATTTTAAAGGAAGGCTCATTGGCTCTGAGGCTGTCCATTGTAGGGCTGTGCATGGTTTTGGGGAGAGTAATTATTCAGATCCTAGAGTCATAGTAACTCCTTTACTTCTTGAGGGAAGAGTTTGACAGAGGTGACTCCAGAGTATTTTTTTGCACTCTACCATAGGCTGACACTTCTTGAATAGGCTGGCCTACATGGGTCACCTAGAAGGTGCATGGTCTGTTGGGTGGGTCTGGGTCCTGTTGGGGGTATCAGTAGAAAATACTGAATAAGTAACCTTTCTATCTGAAATGAGTTTAAAAAAGCTTAAATATTAAAATCCGCGTTCAGTCCTGGCTCTTACCTTTGGCCTATTGTGGCTTATGTTAAAGTTTTTCCTATTACAAACCCTTTTATTTCCTTCAGTTAACATGGAGACCATGTGTGCAGATGACCTTCTCTCTGTGTTACTGTATCTGCTTGTAAAAACAGAGATTCCTAACTGGTATGTAACTGTTTCTTTTTACTGTACAAACATATCTGTAACTTTGTACATAATGTTGCTGCATAAATAAATATAGATGCTTCTAGAAACAGCTAGCTCTACAAGGACAGGCTTGCTGTTTGTTTTTTGTTTATTATATAGTTTTTATAACAATTTCTCAAATAGATTTGAAGGGATCTTTACCTTCAGCAATAAAAAGGAACTTGCTTGTCTCCAGTCCCTCGGGAAAGAGCTGTAAACCTTGCTTCCATTTCCCTCCCCTTTTTTATAGCTCGTCCATCACACATCAAATGTTGCTTGGTTTTTTGCCCCTTCCGGACTTCTTGATGTGACCCATCTTCATCTTTGGACCTATTTCATACCAAAATTCCTGACTTAATCTGTCTCAAAGCAGCCAGGAACCAATCCTCAATTCTCAGCTTGGTTCCTGGGGAACTTGACATTCAAAGGCTTGGAACACCTGGAGATTAATCAATATCCAAAGGGATAATGTAACTAGAATGTTGCTGAAATTAACTTAACTATTTACTGCTAATATCTAACATACCTTTATGGATACTGGGTTAGAGATTAATAGTATGAATTGTACATTTAGATGTACTTGCAATGTAACAGTTGCATTAGCATTGCAATCCTGGATGTGGCTTTTAACAGACTTTTTTTTTTTCTTTGTAAAAAGGCATCTAAAATGAATGAAGTGCTTACGTTTTCAAGTACTATAGAATTTAGCACCACCTCATAATCCTGGAAAGTGTGTCCATACTGAGTGCTAAATGTATCCATATTTTGCATAACTCTTCATTCTTTCATCCAGCAGTTTAAGGGCATTTTATATGTAAGCGCTTATCTCCCCTTGCTGGACAATTAGTTCAGCCTCTTCCATTATCTCAGTTTCAAACAAATACTAAAATAACACAAAACTTTTTTCCTTCCTAGGGCTCTCAACAAGCTCAGGGGTCTGTAAATATAGCTGCTAGCTCCTTGTGATAAGAGAATGTGAATTGGCTTCTAGTTCCATCAACTTCTCTCCCCTCTGAGTAGACTGAGTAGCAATATTAAAAAAAGCCCCTCTCCCCCACACCTTCATGAATCCTTAAGGATAAGTGTTTTATCTTTACTTTTAGGATGGCAAATTTGAGTTACATCAAAAACTTCAGGTTTTGCAGTTCAGCAAAGGATGAACTGGGATACTGCCTGACCTCTGTTGAGGCTGCTATAGAATATATCCGACAAGGAAACCTCTCCGACAGACCAACAGTAAGATAATTTTATGACCATATTTAGCACCTTACAAGTATTAACTGCTCCTTCTAATACCTTTTTAGAGGTAGGTATTTTCCTTCTCTTTCCTCATACACTTAATGGTGATCCAACAACAGGCTACTTAGGAGAGCGAGGTTCTATCCTTTGGGGGGAAATCTCAAACCCAGGGTCTCCATCTTCTACCTGCACAGCCAGGAGGGAGGCAAAAGATCCCACCTCACTTCCTTGAAAAGAGTAGTGAGCTGGTGTCCTAGCTAATGATCTTTCTCAAGTGTGGGTGGGGGAAATGTGAGTTTCACTGGTGAGCACATAACATCTGCTGCTTTACTTGACAAATCACTGGACTACCTTACCATCCCCTAATTGCTTATAAAGCAAGTTGGGACACATAGCATGTTAAAGGTGCCATCTAATTCCAAATTCTTACTCTAGCCTGTTATGTGGATCAAAGGCTTTCAGTAGTCTGAGGATGAATTAACAATTGATCTTCCATTCTATCTGTTTCTGTTGAAGCATTATTATCTAGAGTTTTGGGGCTAGAAAATTAATGGCATTCTGTAACTGGCAACAGTTAGATATGAAAAGGAATGTGTACTGAATAATCAAATTTAACTAAAGGCAAACGGTTATCTGTCAAAGTGGAATACCTTGGGTGAAAATATCACACATACACATTGCACAGTACTTAGCAAGATGTTGTATGCTTCAGGCTATATGTCATAATGAACTGCTGTGGCTGGTTGTACAACAACACTATACAAAACCTGATCTTTAAAACTGTATTTTTAAAATATTTACTAAGGAAACACGTTAAAATGGTAGTATCGCATAATGGTTTGCATCCGATGAAGTGGGTATTCACCCACAAAAGCTCATGCTCCAATACATCTGTTAGTCTATAAGGTGCCACGGGACTCTTTGCTGCTTTTATAGATCCAGACTAACACGGCTACCCCTCTGATAATGGTTTTAGTAGCTTTTTAAAAAATGCTAGAACCTTTTTTTTTTTCTAGATCAGTTGTCTTATTAGATAGCAGCATGGTTTTAATCTCAATACAGTCTTACAGAGCTCAGTGCCATGCTTTCTCTTAGAATGCTGTGCAGCCTTTTTCTTTGTTTATTTTAAAAATGCTGGCTAAAACCTACATAGTAGCAGTGGGAGTGGGCAGGGCCGACACCAGCCCACCAAGCTTGTGCTTGGGGCGGCACCTGGATGGGGGGCGGTGCGGTGCTCCGGCCGCCGGGGAGAGCGGGGCCCCGGCCGGGCTCGCCGCCCTCCCCCCCGGCGCCCTCCCCCCGGCCGGGGCTCGCCGCCCTGCGCTCTGGCCGCCGGGGGGAGATCGGAGCCCCGGCTGGGGCTCGCCACCCTGCCCCCGGCGCTCTGGCCACCGGGGGGGAGAGCGGAGCCCCCACCGGGGCTCACTGCCCTCCTCCCAGGGCTCCGGCCGCCCTCCCCCCCGGCGCCCTCGTGGGGGAGGGCGGGGCCCGGACGCTTTTTTGCCTGGGGCAGCAAAAAAGCCAGAGCCGGCCCTGGGAGCGGGGGGGAAAAAAGGTTGCACTATAGATCAAAACAGAATTATTCAGCGAGCCTTGACCACATAGTGCAGCTTCTAAATGTATTCCATTTATACTTTCCAAATAGTGGGCACCAGCTTTGGATTTCCCTCTTGTGAAGCTGATGACATTAACAAATGATTTATGCAATGCAAATAATGAACTTTGTGGCACCAGCATGATAGCCCAGTGGTAACACAAAGCTCTGTGATGCTGGACAGCAGAGTTTGAAGCCCAGGTTTGCTCTTGGGTCTCTAACCTAGCAGGGGTCAGAAATGCTGCAGATGCAGTGAATTAATTTCATGGTGGGTGAGCGTGCCTTCTGTCAATCAGCTCAGGTCCCTGCAGGCCAATCAAGAGAGAGTGCTGATGTGACTTTAAAAGCTGCCATGGTCAAAGGAGAGCCCCTGTGGTTTATTTAGGGTAGGGAGCCAGCCTCTTACATGTGGAAAACAGACTAGGTCCTGAATTTAGATCACACTTGTTTCTTGTGCCAAATGAGGAGAGTCTAAAAAGACACCTACCTAGGGTTGTTTTTTTTTAAACAAAGTCCTTCTCAGTAGCTGTTAAAAAGTGTACTGTAGTCTGTTTACTCTGTTTTGTAATCTGTTTTGGTTGTTAAGCTCTGAAAACACTCTAGAGTTTCTGCTCTTGCAAAAATAGGTGTTCCCGGTGTGACCTGGAAACCAAAGGATGTGAACATGGGACCACAGAGACTGAGACTTGTTTGAATTATCTGTCAACTGCATAGCACTGGAATCTGGATTACTGTGGCCGGCTTGATTGATTGGCTCAATGTACAGGGTTTGGGGTGGGACAATTCCAGGGCACAATCTTAACAAAGCAAAACCTCTTAGAGTAACTTCAAAATTTTATTTAAAGAAATACTTTTATGGTAATATGCTATTTTGCTTTTCTGTGGTGATCTTTCCACAAATCTATGGCACTCTGAACTATTGAACATTTAGAAAAGAACATGACCTTTTGTATTTAGTATCTCTTGTTATATTGCTATATTGAATCCTGTTAAGAAAACATAATAAAGTGTTAATGTTAAAAACAAAGTTTGCAATTTTTCCTTTTTAATTTCAGCCATCGTGCAGCTATCTCAAAATTCTTGTAATTCTCAGTAATATATGAATAGCAATAGTTCCAGCTGACTCTCAGTCCAGAAATATTTACATTTTTAAATTCCCTTTGTAAAGCAGTGCATGAACTAACATTGAGGATGCCAGTAAAAAACTGTATTTGGTGGATTGTGGTCTTTTTCAAAAGACACCATTAGTTTTATATAAAACAAGTTGCTCATTTAAAAAGAAGGGACCAGAAAAAGAATAAAAATTGCCTTCCTCTAAGTCTGGTCCCATCTGTCTTCACATAACTGAATAGAGCAATTCTTTACATAACAGGAGATCTCACTATATATTAAAGGTTGTTCCAATTTTCTGACCTTGCTGCCAGTCTTAGATGTCTGTTTTGAGAATGAACACCAATTGATTCTTCCAGAGTTCCAAATAGGAGAACCAGAGACCTGAGCAGTGCCTCAGAGTATCTCCCTGGTACCAACTTGTTGCATTTGAAATCTGAAGCCATAGTATATGCAGAGTAGTGATTCCAGCCTGCAGGGTACATAAGCCTTTCAAATGACTGAGGACAGTGCAGACTGAATGTGCTGGTGGTTCCTAGTTTTCCTCTCTCCCTCTGGGCTTCCTTCCTACATCCAACTTCCATTTCCATTGTTACCTAGCTGGTTGACTTCTAAGGAAAGCCTGCAACACCAGGGAGCAACAAGAACAGCTTCAGGCATCTAGGGAATCTCATTCTTCTCTGCCCCCTGCCACCATTTTCTCTTTCCCCTCACCTTCGGTGTCTGTGTGGGAAGCCTGCAGCAGGAGCCCTCTTCCTCCCACTGTCAACATCAGGGATTGAAAGCTGTGACTCCATTGGGGCCCCTTAATTAGTGCCATTCCTAGGGATGTGTAAACCAGAGAATCATATAGTGCTCCTTTAGCAGCTGCAGCACTGGGGCTTGGGGTGTCAGCAATAACGTTTATTCTAAGAAAGAAGGGAAGCCTGAAAAGGACAGGACCTACCTGGGGTGGCAGAATGAAATTGGGGCCACCATTCACCAAAACTCCCCTTCTCTGTTGGGTGCTGGGCCAGTCTGAATCTTCTGGATTACCCCCAATAAAAAGGGATCTGAGAACAGGCACTGCTTCTATACAGTGCACTGTGAGCCATGTGCGGTGAGGAGTAGAGCCAGGAACTAGTACAAGTCACCCAGCAGCTACTGAACAGGAAAGAGCAAAATTCCCTGAGTGAAGGGGGAAGGGTGGGGTGGGAGGAGGGCAGTGTATATAGAAAAAAGGGGTAAAAACTCAAGGTAGTAGTGTAGTCTCTGCCAGTCTCACCAGCCCTCAGCAACTGAAAACATTTGAGTGTGTTGATCCCTAATCTCCTATTTAGTTCTGGCCCGGCAAAGAATAAATCAGTTGGTCTTCAGTTTCCTGGCTGGGGCACTAGTCACTAGGCCAAGTTTCAGGCTCTTTGCTTGCCATAGGATCCTGCTGAATCCTTCACTCCATTCCAAGGTATCCAGTACTGGTGGGGGAAACAGGAGTTAAATGGTAAGGAAAGATGATGAATCTCCAGGTCTGCTGTGACAACTCCTGATGCTGCTTGCAGCGGGGACAGATAGCTTCTGAAGGAGCTGCTAGCAGTCAGCCTGCTCCTTCTTAGCCCTTCCCTCCACCAGTCCCTAGAGCACCCAACTGTGGGCAAAACACATAGGGAAGAATCAGCCTATCTAAGGCAATAGCAGGCAGCAGGACTGGCCTGTTGGCAGCATATGTCTCTTAGCGCTTTGAAAAAGCAAATGAGGAAAAGACAAAAGGCACAATGGAGAAAACTAGAAGAGATTGAGGCCCAGCTGGGAGAGGAGTTGAAAAGAGCCTGTAGCTGGATGGACCTATTGTGTGGGTGGTAAAATGGGTAGGGATTGGAGGAGCATGTGAGTTATGAAGGCCCCTCTTTGAATTTGTGCTTGTGGATAGTGGGGCTTCATAACTATTATGCCCCAGCGGCAGGGGGCAGTAACAAAGGGCTTTCATTTAATGGGCCAGAATGTAGCAACAAGTTCTAGTTCAGAGATTCTGAAACCCAACACCTGCCCCTTTTTGGGGCGGGGGGTGGGGGTGGGAAGAGAAGACTTTTACACTGAAATACATGGGCAGTACATATCCTCAACCATCCAAGAGTTCTGCACATCCTCAGGTCTAAAGTGTTGTTCATTATAATAAAATACCCTCTAACTAGTGACCCACATCAGCACTGATGGAAATGGAGGTATTTACTGTTCTGGACTCAGTTATTGTCTGAGGATTTTGGCAGGGGATTGAAGGCAGGTTCTAATATATTTCACTATCTCTTTTGTCCTGTAGATAAGGGATGATATGTGCTTAAAAGTTCTGGGAATGCAATCTATCTTGTCCTACTGCAACACAAGCAATGTTTTTGGTAATTATCAGAGTATTCTAACCAAAACAATCCATCCAGGGGACCATGCTCTACTTTCAAACAAATGAAACCCTCATTCTCACTCACTGAAGTGTAGAACATAGTAGCTAAACCAGAACATGCAATTTATCCTTTCAATTAATTATCTTGCTTGTAGAAATGGTCAATACACAATGCTTCAGAAGGTTACCCATTCATTATTTCTCTTTATTCCCATGTGGGAATATGTGCCAATTATATAACAGGGCAAAATCTTTCCTGATATTTCATACAAGCTTGTGCTCTGGAGCATGAGGATTGCCATCATTTGGGGGAGGGGGAAATAGTGCTGAACTACTTGCCTGGGATTTCTGGAGTTCATTAATTCCATAGATAGTTTAATACTGCAAGTAATTACAATCTCTGACCAATTGCACTACACACTCAAGCCAACATTTTCAAACCTGGGTGCCTCTGATTAGGCACTAAAATCCACATTTTGACACCTACCTGTCAACTCATCCAGTGGGAGCAGCAGGTGCTACTTCACCAAAACCTCTGAAAAACCTGCCTACCTATTTAGGTACCAGAAGGCTAGGCACCCAGGTTTGAAAATGTTGGTGTCTGTCCTGCTATCTTTTTTGTGTGTAACTAAAACCCAAACCAAACCAATTTAGAGGATATACATGTTCTCTAGTCTCACATCACAGTATTGAGTTTTTAAATCTCTGTATTGAGTTTTCCATTGTAGGTCAGTCATATGCATAGTTTAAAAACTATTCCATGGTTTAGCATGCATAACGAAATACAGGGGCTACTAGTGATCAAAACCAAACAAGTTCTTAGAATAGTTAGTGCTTTAAAATTTTGTGTGGAAAATTCAAAGAAGAAAACAAGCAATGTTAAAGATTGTACACACTTTGGGAGAGAACAGCTCATGTACGTGCAAGCAAATTGAGTTCCTTTTATTGATCTTACAACTGTGTAAATTTAGTGACTAATAAAATTGCTGTAAGGAGAGCACAGGTCATGTGAGGCTTATGAAAAATAGTACAATATCACATACACTCATAATCCTTTGCAAGTTTTCATCCTAAAATTTCTCTATATCAAACATGTTTAACTATTGAAAGAAACCCTAATTATAGCCAAATTATCTAGAAGCACCAGAACAGATTTCTGTTTCTAGTAGTTCTAGTGGTGATGGTGGCTTTATAAATGGTTTTGAGAGGCTTTCTCCATAAGATCACCTACTGTGATCTTAACATGAAAACCTCAGGGATCCAAGTTTCCAGAAAAGCTGCTGGACTCCACATTCCAGTATCACCAGGAAACCTGAGTGATCTTGTGTTCATTTGCTCTGAATTGATTTTTCTAATGCTTCAGTTTGATATGCTGCCTTATTACTTTCGCACAGAGGGCACTGGCTTAGTATTTGTTACATGCAAATACAGTAATTGTTATTTTGAGATTTAATCTCAAGTGCTGAAGAATGGGTCAAATCCATTTCTTCTCAACTATTAACACCGGCACTAACTTTGCAGATTTTGTGTCCATGTTAGGTAGAGAAGCCTTCAGTCGAATCCAGCATGATTCTGAGGGGCTTTCTGATTCTGGGGCTTCAGCTTGACGCTGCTACATGGCTGGCAGCAGACAGTATCTGCCCCGGGCCTGTTTTTAGTCAGTAGTTTTGTGACTGTCCATCTTGCTCTTTGGCACACCCCCTTTAGTCTGTGTTTTATATGAAGCACACCTCTCACTAACTTGGCCACTTCAAAAGCTGCTTTTACTTTGGTTTTTCTTATAGAAAAACTTATTTTTATTTTGTTAATGTAACTCAGATGTTTTAGTACTAAAATGTCTAAGGTGTGACCTGGGATTATTTTATGGACTAACATCCAGTTAGGTGACAGGGAATGCTCTTGTACAAATGTACAAAGTAATTGATACAGAATTTTAAGTATTCAATCAAACTTTTAGGCTTTAACCTGTTATATAAGCTAAGAGCTGGTAAATATATGTATTGCATATTAAAATTTTTTTTGATAAAACTACTTTCTTTTTACTAATATAGGGAATATTGGTTGACATGGCTTGTTTCTTTTCAGGAATCTGAGAGGTTTAGTGACAAGTTCTTGAGGCAAAGAATGAACTTGCTATCCCAGATGTCCACGACCCCAATAGATTGCTTGTTCAAGGTGAAAAATCTGCATTGCAGAACATTGTACATATATAATCTTACATACAGTTTTCTACACTATAACACACACTTTGTAATGACTTTACCATGCTGCTTGTACTTTGGAGAGCCAAGAAAGCCATATGTTAGACTATAAAGAGGTGCTTGGGTAATCAGGGCATTGCAGTTCTGTGCCAAAGCTTCTGCAAGTTGGCAATGTGTTCTTACAGATTCTAGCACAGAAACAAATGGAGTTGGAATAGTGCTGCTGTAATAGTCAATAGCCCATTAAAACAGAGATGCAATGCCAATGGCTGTTAGTCTCTAGAGACTTTGGTGCCCCAAACCAAGAAGTTTTGCTGAAAAAAAAATCTAAAGTGCTGTCACCTCCCATCTCCTACATATTGTGTTAATCAATCTCATAGTGTAATTATAAAAAGAGAATTTCACCTATGCAAAGACAAAGCAAAGCTACTAATTATACATATTTACAGCTATGGCTAGAGACTGCTAGTAATAATGTGTCTGAACAGAGGGAGGTCATTGTTGTAACTGAGTCTGGAAGACAACAATGTGAAATTTATTTTAATTTTTTTTTTATGGAAAGCAAACCAAGATCAGATCTAAGGGCTATTTATACTGAAAACTCATTGGGGATTATGTGCAGCAGCCCTATCCAGCCTTGCACCCGTGCTTCTAGTGCTTCATTCATAATCGGTTGCTTTGGTTTTGTGCTTCAGTGGATGAAGTAGGTTTTATTTTAAGCTTCTTCACATCAATACCTCACTCTTTCTCCTCTTGGCTTTTTGTAGTATATTGCTTCAGGTAACCAGGAGGAAGTGGAACGATTACTAAGTCAAGGTGACAGTGATAAAGACACTGTACAGAAAATGTGCCACCCACTCTGTTTCTGTGACAATTGTGAGAAACTGGTTTCTGGGTAAGGATTCTTCATCTTCATATGAAAAGCTTTCTAAAGGTCTGTGTTCTAGGATTTCCTTTAGAGTATGAGGGCAATACTGGTATGTGCAGTGCCTCATCCAGAAAATGCTTCTGGTTGGAGAGGATATTGGCTGCATTTTAGGATTGTGTGTGTATATATCTAGGTTGAGAGGGACAGAAGAAATTGTAGGTGTCTCAGAATTATGCATGCAGATTTGAATAGAAAAGTATTGAAAAGCTGGGAGCTCCATTTCCCATAGATGGGAGATAGTGAGACGTCCTTTGGACATGTTAAAGAGTGACTCTTCTCTCT